TAATGAAACGACAGTAAAATTAGTAGAGGATCGTAAGCTATTATCCTTTACGTTGACGTTTTATTTTAGTGTCATACCAATAACAGAGGCAAAAACTCATTAAGAACAGTTACCGGAAAACATAATTAAATGTCCTTATAATAAAAAGCAAAGAATAACACCATTTAAATATAAATAATATATTTTGTAGTCATTGCCGTTTTCGGCACTGAAGTAGGTACATATATATTTCGTTGGACAGAAGTTGCCTGAAAGTTTTTGAAATTCGTTACAGACTTCTTGGAATACATGTTGCAACCTAGTCATTGTTAATACCAAGCCATAAAAGGATTCAGTTTGTAGTCATGGTTGACTAAGAAAGCCAAAGAAAGCTTGAGTTTGTAGTCACAGTTTAACACCAACCCAGAGAAGATTTCAGTTTGTAGTCATAGTTTAACACCAAACCAGAGAAGATTTCAATTTGTAGTCATGGTTAAACACCAAGTCAGGGAAGGTTTCAGTTTGTAGTCATAGTTTAACACCAAACCAGAGACGATTTCAATTTGTAGTCATAGTTTAACACCAAACCAGGGAAGATTTCAATTTGTAGTCATGGTTAAACACCAAGTCAGGGAAGGTTTCAGTTTGTAGTCATAGTTTAACACCAAACCAGAGAAGATTTCAGTTTGTAGTCATAGTTTAACACCAAACCAGAGAAGATTTCAATTTGTAGTCATGGTTAAACATCAAGTCAGGGAAGGTTTCAGTTTGTAGTCATAGTTTAACACCAAACCAGAGAAGATTTCAATTTGTACTGGATTTGAATTTATTTTCTTTATAGTAAATATATAAATTATCAACATTACTTCGAATTTATAGAATATATATTAAGTGCACACAATACCAAGGCGGCCAATAGATGCCGCTGTGGCATTAATTAAGTCAATCACAACTTCGTTAATTTGACAACTCAAGCCACAAAACGTGCGAAAGTTTCTAATTATGTACTTTTACGTTGACGTCATAATTCTTTCACTTATTTGTTTTTAATAATGACATTTTACTTCCTCCATAATCTAATAATAAAATAAAAATATTTTCATTACCTCTTTTTTTTCTGGTCAAATCATTAATTTCAAAATAAGCCTACACAATGTCTAGAAAACACTTCAATACTCAATTATTAAATTTAAAAGATAATACAAGTTTTAAGTTTTATTGTACAAGTTTAGCTTCGTAAACTAAATCCATAGGCCTAAAGAAATTGAAACACAGATGTTTGAAGGATAAATACACCCATTCGTCACATTAGTGTCTTCTATCACAATGTTTTCAATCTTTTAGGTATATTAAACAAGTGTAGTTATAATGAAACCAATGCATTTTACATTAGATGTTCTTCTGTCAACGTTTTATGGTTTAATAAAGTAACAATGCACAAAGTTTGCCCCTGAAGAAGAAAGGTCCGCCTTTCGAAAGCGCTAGGGTTATAGGTTTTTTATTCATTTCTATCAATACTTCTTGAACCTACGTGTTTTTCTAACATCATGAATGCACGAAATATCATTTTAGGGCTGAAAACATAAAACATTATTTTGTGAGTTATGTTTAAAGTGACTCCTAGTGTTTCCTATCGGACATTGGAACTTAGTAGATCAAGTGTAAGTATAGTTGTTTTAAGTAGATGAAGTTTACTTTCTGAATTCTCAAGACAGTTTTATTACATAACATTTGTTTTGTTATTTGACTAAAGCAAACGTCATCTTTAAAAAACACACTTGACTTAGTTGGTTTTCACTTCTCTCAAACTAAGTAACCAAACCATAACAATTATATTTATCAAGATGGATTCAGCAATCAAAGAAGTAATAACTTGGAAATTGTTCCCAGGTGAACAATGGTTGTTTTAATTAAACTCCCCCCAAGGACGAATCTGTATCTAGGAATCAATTGATGAACTCAGGTCTTTACTCAGATCAATTTTATACTAATTGCTTGAAGATTACATAAGAAACAAGCTACAAAAGCTAAGGCAAACGTTGTATGGTAATAACACATTATCATATCCGCTATATTATCCGTACTTTGTAAATATACAGATTAAATGTAAATTTGTTCAATGAAAAAAAAAGTTTCAACACAAACTAAACGCATGAAAAACATTGAAAAAAGGTTATTATAGTTCTTACGTTTAAATTTTGATAAAGCATCGCTGTTATAATGAAGATAGAACTTTATTTCCTGGTACAAATTGATGTGTCTATTTTTATTTTATTTTATTTTGTTATAACATAGTCAGAAACAAGATTACGACACTTT